TCCTTCCGCCTCAGCCTTCCAAGTAGCTGGAACTACAGGCGCATGCTACCACGCCCGGCTAATTTTTGATTTATTGTAGAGATGAGGTCTCGCCAGGTCTCGAACCCGCAGCTCAGGCAGTCCACTCATCTCAGCCTCTCAAAGGCGCGGGATTACAGGCTGAGCCACACAGCCCGGGTTACTGTCTTGCTAATAAGGCACAAGGTGTTGAGTGAAGGATTGTGGTGAGTAGATAGGATGCTGTTGGGAGACCACCTGGATTCTTCCTTGTTTTCACCTAGCCCTTGGCTTCTGCATATAGCTGGGTCAAGGTGAGGCAGGGGATCGGATCTCTATCCTCAGAAGTGGGTTACGGGAGACAGTAACACTTTGGGGTTGGGGCCTTGGAGAATCCCAGAATGATTGCTATGGTTTTGAGACAGGTTCATGGTGAAGCTGGCTGAAGAGACCAATGGGATCATTGTCTCCAATGACCAGTTCCGGGACTTGGCGGAGGAGTCCGAGAAGTGGATGGCAATCATCAGAGAACGGTGAGGGAGCCCTCCACTGGGAAGAGAGCATAGATTCAGAACTCTCTCTAAAACCAGTTCTGCTTTGGCCACCGGGGGAGGACTCTGGGAGGAGCTTGAGGTTGCCTTGAAAGATGGTAGCTAGCAGCTTCTGGTGATGTTGGTCTTAGCTGTCTGGGAGGTGGGCAGGGACACCTCTGACCACACGTTCTTTTCCCATCTAGCCTGCTGCCCTTTACCTTTGTGGGAAACCTCTTTATGGTTCCTGATGACCCGCTGGGGCGAAATGGTCCCACCCTGGAAGAGTTCCTGAAGAAGCCAGATGGGTAATACCCCAGGCTCCCTGCAGCCTCCAGCCCTGGTCCTCTCTCTGCAGGCCTAGAGACTTGGGTAGAAGTATGACCTCAGTTTGGGCCAGCTTAATTTTGCAGTAGTTTGAGTTGCCCTGGGCTTAACCTTTAAAGGCTTCTCAGGGGATCCTGACATAGAACCTCTTGGTTGGGAGGAAGCACCTGCTTCCTGTTTCCCTTAATCAGTGTGTTTGATGGAGTTATTTGGAAGATGGTTGCTTGTACTGATAGCCAGTTGTATTCAGCACACTCCTACCGGACCATTACATAAGTGGTTAATTAGGACTAGAACCAGATCATAATAGTGGCAGGATTTGCCCAGTTCCTTCAGAAGTAGGTTGATACTGCCACTCAGTGGTCAGCCTGGGGAACTTCAGAATCTCTCCCAGAGAGCCAGGAACAGGCCGGACAATTAAGAGTGGGGAGGCCCACCGAGGTCTAATTTCCCTCCAGGATGCTCATCAGCTCTTTTTGTCCTGTTTCTTCTCAGGACACCGGGGTTTTCTAAGGCTCAGCCTCCATCCAGGGGCTTCACAGAACATGACAACAAGCAGCAAGGGAGAGAAGAGGAAAAAGGCAGTGGCGGCATCCGGAAGACCCGGGAGACGGAGCGGCTCCGACGCCAGCTGCTGGAGGTGTTCTGGGGTCAGGATCACAAGGTGGACTTCATCCTGCAGCGGGAGCCATACTGCCGGGACATTAACCAACTGTCTGAGGCCCTGCTCAGTCTCAACTTTTGAGTCTCACCTGCCTGAGTGGCTGCTGCCCTGTCAGCTCCAGCCTCCCCCAGCTCAGCACCTTCTGTGAGAGTCTCTCTCTGTTGCTCAGATTCTGACCCAGACTCACTCTCAGTTGGTGCTTTGGGTTAGGGAAGCCACTCTGGGAACAGGTCCATAAAGTGACCTTATCTTATCTGAGTCAGGACCTCAACCAGCTCTCAAGAGGTTCTGCTCAGCGTTAACTTCTCAACCCTGCCTTAGCACAGGGTTTCTGCAGAGAGTGAGGGCTGCTGGAGACTGGGACTGTTGGCTCCACCCCCAGGCTGAGCTAGGGTGGGTGGGAGGTAGCTGGAAGCTAAGCCTTTCTTTCTCCTGGCTGTTGCTCTGGATGGCCAGAGGACAGGTTGCCTCCCAGGCCTGGCTAGGCTCTTGGGAGTGTGGAAGGGAGTTCTGGGCCCTGGAAGGGTGACGGCATATGGACTGGGCTGCAGTAGGGTGAAGTGAGCTACTGAAGAAGTTAGACCGAGACTTAGTTTCTGGTCTCAACTGTGCCTGTCTGTGCTCTTGATTGAGCTGCTTGGCCTTTACTTCCACCTATAAATCAGAGCTAAAAATACCTGTTGGGAGGAGAAATGAGAATGTAGAGGAATGCAACTTGTAGGAAAGGTATTTGGACCAAGTCTCAGGTGTGTCTGCCTGTGGCTGCACAGGCTCCCAAACCAAAACCTCACTTTCAGAGAGATGTGGTTCCTGTGTCCAGGCCCACACCCTAGATTTTAACACTGTCAATATAACATGCCCTATAATGGCTGCATTTCTTTTGGGCAACCTCCAAAATCCACATTTACAAAACAGTTAAGTTAGGGATGACTGCATTACCAAAATACTCTCAGGGTTTCTATAAATGGCAGCTCTCCTGGTGCATTCAAGTATTTGTTTACAGACTAACAAATGTGCCAGAAAGTCTCTGGTTAGATGCACTTACTGAAGTGTTGAGATCATTCACCACCTTGAGGAAGCCATGCTCTGTGATGACAATGTGATCTGACCGTAACAGTTTCTCTACAGAAGACATATGTTGCACAAGGCAAGGCATGCTTTGTGTGTGTGTTTGGGGATGGGAGGGCATATAGGGGTTGAACCAATTGGTTCTAGATGAACCAGTTATCTGGAAATGAAAATTAAAGAGTCAGAGTTGGAAGGCACCTGACTGGCCACCAGATCAACTCTGCCATCACATCATACATGCTCTCTCTACCCTGATTCCTACAGGTCATTGCTCTGTATCTGCTTGATGTCCTTCTGTGCCAGGGGACTTACTACCTCTAAGGTAGCACATTCCCTGTGTTGACTGTATTGATCAGTGGTCCTTCTTTTAGTGCAGCCAAAAATATGCTTTTCTATTATTTCTACCTTTGAGGCCAGTCCTTCCCCCAGGAACAATACAGAGCTAGTCAACTTCCTAGAGTCCAAGACCAGATAAAGTAGTAGGTCAGGTGTTCCTGGACTCTGTCTGGGCCCTGCAGTGAGTCCCTGGACAAGATCCTTTTCAGGATTTGACTTCTGCTTCCCTCTGAATGGCACAGGGAGTTTAATACCACATGGGGAGAGGAATGATGACAGAGATGGTCTCTGGGTCCTGATGTGTTCACCTCTACTCTTGATTTAAACCGCTAGACCTACTGACCCAGGCTGGTTGGGGGGTGACTCAGAGACAACCCATAGTCCCCAGATATCACAACTTTAGGTAGGGTTAAAGGGGACCTAGATGAACACTTGGGACTTTTTTTCCTGATGGGGTTGTTTTTTGTTCTTGATTGGTTCCCTGCCCTTTTCGCTTTCAATGATGGATGTGCAGTAGGCCGTAGGTATTTTCTGCTTTTTTGTGCTGAGGACCTTGGTCGTCTGAAGTGGCCCCAATCAGATAGGAGGCAGGTCCTAAGTTTCTTACAGACAAGCATGTTGGCTTTGTCCCACTGCTGCTTGATAAGCTGGGAGCACTGTGTGACTACTTCATTAATTCACTGCCATTTGGTGAAATGGACTAAAGGCTGACCTACACCTTGGCCTCTGTCTTCCTCTGCTGGTCCTAAAGGCACTCTGTGACAGGTACGCAGGGTGAATACAGAACCACTGGACATGGATCATCGTTTTCTCCCCTAGTTTCTACCTTCATCATAACCTCATGCCCCAAATTTGTAACCAGCTCTTTTGCCAACAGAAGGACCAAGAAAGGAGAGGATGAGACGTTGCTCACTGTAATATTCAAAATCCCATGTAGGGAAAAAAAATCATCTGGGGTGACATTCCTTGAAATAAATTCCAGGAGAATCTAGGCCAAAGAGATGAGCCGAGTGTAGTCGGATAATTTATCTTTATTGCCTAAACTGCAGAGCATTCTCCATATAGCATAAAGGAGAAGTGGGGGCAGCATTGGCACATGTAGAGAAGCCAAACTGGGGAATCCTTTTACAAGGAGTTGAAGAGGTTAAGGCCCCAACCTGATGAGGTTACAGCCTTGAGACTGGACAGTCTCTCAGTTAAATAAGGTGGAGTAACAGAACAATGGGAAAGAAAGACGAGCGGGAGATGAACCCTGAAGAACCAAATGGCTTCAGATCTCAAGTAAAGGAGTAGCTGAGCCTATTCACAGTGACTGACCAGGAGGCCCCTGTTGAGGGATAGGCCTCAGGCCCTTGCCACAAGCTTCCGTACTTACGATACGACTTCCTTCAAGGCAGGCCCTAGCTCTGGGAAGGCATACTGGTAGCCAGTGGCCAGAGTCCGCCGAGGTATCACCTTCTGGCCCTCCAGCAGCATGATGGCACGCTCTCGCCCAAAGACAGCTTGCACCACAGTGCTGGGGAGAGGGATGAGGGCTGGGCGGCCCAGAGCAGTGCCCAAGGCTTGGGCAAACTCAGCATTGGTGGCAGAGGCTGGGGCCACTCCATTAAGGACCCCCTGCACGTGGTTTGCTTCAAGGGCGTGGGTCAGGATTCCTGCCAGGTCCCCGATGTGAATCCAGGGGAAGAACTGGTGGCCTGAGCCGATGGGGCCCCCCAGGCCGAGGCGGAAGGGCAGCAACATGTGGCTGATGGCACCACCCCCACGGCCCAGCACAACCCCTAGAGCAGGCAAGAGGGACAGTACAGGGAGGCCCCTCAACATCAAAGCAGCCCCATTGCTCCTCCTGGTTTCTCAGTTTCCCTGTGCTCACTCTTTCCCCATGCTGACTCAGCTCTGTAAGAGTTGAGGGATATGGCTGTCTTTGGGACTTCCCACCCTTCTGACTGTAGGTTGGCCATAAGTGGTGGCATCCTCTCACTCTGTGATCTTAGCTTTCCTGATCCCACCACTCTCCCAGCCCAGAGAAGACATTCCAATCCTGTCTGATACCCAGTCCCCTAGTTCTCACCAGAGCGTACCACCACCTGGCGTGTAGACTCTCCAGGAAGCCTGGCTGCTGTTTCCCATTTGGTTACGAGGTTGGAGAAAAAGTCAAAATCCCCTCCTGGGCTGTCCTCATCATACTCTGCAGTCAGGCTGGGCTGGTAGTAAGCTGTCAGGGAACAGTACTCACTTGCCCTGGGTATTGGCCCTGGCTGGCCCTTTGCAGTGGAGGCTCCCACTGGCCTCACCCTCTGGCCCTTGGGATCTCCCCATGTGAAGACAGAACCACAGTTATTTCCCCCTTGAACTTCTCTGTGACCTGCCCTGTTCCTGCCCTGGAGGAACTCTTATCTTTGGTTGCAAGGCTAAACTTAGAGGCTGCTGAAGTGTAGTGGTTAAGAACAGAAACTTGGGTGCCAGGCTGCCTGAGTTTTTTTCTTAGCTCCACCATTTATTAACTCTGTGGTTTTAGGCAAATTGCTTAATCTCTGTATAGAACTTTGCTTCTTTAAAATGGGAATAATAGTACCTACCTCATAGAGTTGTTGTGAGGAATACATATGTAATATGCATAAAACGTTTCAAATCATGGCTGGTGTGTACATTATGACTTTGTAATTATTTAGTCCCAAAGGTGATATTCAACAATCAGAAACTCTGTTCCTAAAGAACTGTGGTGTGAGAAGAAAGGACCTTGGGAGTCGGTAGACATTTTCCTGGCGCTAGGAGCAGTGCCACGCCCCCCTCTTTCTCTGAGGGTCTCCATTTCTCAGTGAAAGAACCCGAAGGTTACAAGAAACATGCATGCATTGAGGGTCTAGGAAGTTGTTGTGCCTGGGAGACACCAATGCTCTGGGGTGTGTGCAGCTACTAGGGCCAGACCTACCCTCTTACTCTGTGCCACCTCCTTCCCCTGGCTAATGTAAGGGATTGGCAATTTTGGGGGCATACCTACGCCTGTGACTAAGACCCAGGCCTGCGGGGGCTGTGGGGCCTTCATGATGGCTTTAGCCAGCATTTGGGTGGTCTCCAGGCGGCTGCTGAGAACCTCTTTTTGGAAGGCTTCATTCCACCTGCAGGAGAAATATAGGGGAAACAAAAGCCACTAAATATTTACGTGCACATATTCCTTCTCGCTTTCATTCCATACCCATTTCTGAATTGTGACCTAAGAGAAACAGCAGTGTAGAGGAAAGCGATGTATCTTTCTTGGGTATTCTGAGTTACATGTGAGGACTTAAGCCAACTGGCTGAGTGGGTGGAGAAGTGGGTGGAACGAGGGGTTTGAGATATCGGTTTAGTTCTCATTCTGGCAGCTCCATTATCCACAGCTCACAGGTTCTCATCTGAATCGGACCCTCTCCTCCCTCTGCTCTGGGGGTTATCAGCTTTAGGGCCCGGGCTGACCTTCGGAGTGGGTTGAGGATGTTCTCTCCAGCCAGGTTGACGGCTGCATCGCACTCGGGCAGTCCCGACGCAGCGAGCTCATCCTGTTGGAGAAAGAGCTCAGTGCGCCCGGGTCCCGCCTCCGCCCACCAAGCCTCCCCACCCACTTCCAGAGGGAGGGCGTACCCATGTGATCCGGCCGGGCCCCGGCTGTCGGGACACCAACGTCACTTCGTGGCCCCTCCCTCTCAGCAGCTGGGCCAGGACTTTCCCAATGAAGCCGGTCCCGCCACCTGATCGGAAAATACAATTTTTAAAATATTCCTGGGGAGGGGCGGGGGAGCGCCGTCTGTCCCCGCTTGTGGCCCCTTTTCCGGTGCCCTCCCATCAGACGCGACTCCTTCCCTCCTCTTCTCCCCCTCCTCGCGATGCAGAGGTGACAGCTCACGGGGACTAGGGAGATTCGGCTTTTGGGGCTAGACGGTCAAGGCCAGGCTGCCTGCGCACGAGACAGTGTCCACCCGGCAGCGGCCTCCCAGCTTTCAATCTTAGGCAAAACCCTCTTCCCTCTTTCCCGGTAAAGCCTCCCTCACCCACAAGCACCCGCATAGCGATCAGGACGTGATGCGCACGCGCAAGGTTTAAAGTTTACCCACTTGGGGCGCGACTATGACCTCTCTACGCATGCGTCTTTCCGGAAGCGCGCTCGAATGGAGGGGGGGAGCGGGTAGATCGAAACTGGGCGTGTCCCCCGATGACCCGGAAGAGTTTAAAATGTATAAAATGACAGGGGGGTCCGTTTCATGCGGAAACGAAGCGGGAACTGGGTATTCCTACGGAGTAAGAAAGAGGAGGAGGAGGCGGAAGAGGGGTGGTTTTTGTGCACAAAACCAAGCCAAGCCAACACAATCTTTGACCTAAAACCTGAAGCTACCCCGACCGCAGAATTCTGGCCGTCCATTCAGTTGGTGGGTCAGTAATCCAAGAGAATCCATCCGGTCATTGCCTTGCTAGACTCTGGTGTGGCCCTGTGCTCTTGGAGCTATTGCTGTCGCCATGCTTCCTGACTTTGGCCCCCTCCCCTACCTTGGGGAGGTGACTTTTCTCTTTCAGCAAGTTACTTTTACTTTTTTGGGGGGGGGGTTGGAGTCTCACTCTGTCGCCCAGACTGGAGGGCAGCGGCCGCTCCCGGCCACCGCAGCCTCGACCTGCTGGGCTCCGGCAATCCTTCCGCCTCAGCCTTCCGAGTAGCTGGAACTACAGGCGCGCGCTACCGCGCTCAGCTAATTTTTTCTTTTATTGTAGAGACGAGGTCTCGCCAAGTTGCCCGGGTGGGTCTCGAACCAGCGGGCTCAGGCAGTTCACTCGCTTCGTCCTCCCAAAGTGCTGGGATTACAGGCTGAGCCACCGAGCCCGGCCGGCCAAGTTACTTTTAAATAAACTATATTTTCTAATCTAAAAAAAACCAAAAAAAGAATCCATCCGCTGGTACTATGGATTTTTTAAAAATGTGGGTCCTGTTTTATCTTTTCTTCTCCCCCTTCCCGTATTTAAACATTTTTATCTGCCTTTAAGCAATTCTGTCAGCACTTAAATATTACAAATTCCCCTCATCTTAAAATAACCCTTCTCCAGCCCTCTTTTTCCTCCAGCTAATGTTCTCTATTTCTCTTCGTCTTCATAGCCAAACTTCTCAAAAGTGTGGCGTCCGTTTTCTACTTCCCGATGCACTCCTGTCTTGCTTCTTTTCCCCCCCCCCTCCAAGAACGCAACTTTCTCATGTGTCACGAAATCTCACGCCTAATTTTCAGTCATTTTTCTTGACTTCTCAGTATCACTGGGCACTTGTTGACTCCTCCTTCCCTTTGTAAATGCTCAGTCCATTGGCCTCAGTGAAAAGTATATTCTCGTACAGCTTTTTTCAGTCTTCATTGCTTCTTCTGCCTCCTCTAAGTTCTTAACATGTTGGTATTCCTCAGAGTTGGTTCCTAGGACGTTCTTCTCATCTCATGCACAATTTCTCCTGAGCATCTATGCCATGGATTCAGTTACCAGGTTTTTTTTTTTTTTGTTTTGTTTTTTTACAGAGGACTATGAATCTTGCGTGCTGCTTAAATATCTCCTCAGCTTCTAATGCCTATAAAATCTTCTCACTTGATTTCTCTTCTTGGATGTCTGAAACCCTTTTGATTTTACTTACCGAATATTTCCCAGATTTATCTATGAGGGATCTTTGAAAAATCATGAAACATGTGTATTATTTTTAGAAATGCAGCGTGTGTTCTCTCCTTCCCTGCTCCCCCTTCTCTTCACAAAGAAAGAGTCAGTAAACACACACACACACACACACACACACACACACACACACACAAAGAAAGAAAGAAAGAAAAATGCACGGATTTCAAAATATTTTTTGCACCAAAATAAACTCATACTGACTTTGTAATGTGTTATAAACTATAACAATTACCTAGTTTAAAGCACTAAGAAGACTAAGCTGTCAGTTTGAAAAGAGCTCCTATCAGAGCAAGATGAATTCTGCTAACATTGAAGCAAGAACAAACGTCAAATTTATGGTGATGCTTGGGTGGAAGAATGGTAAGATCATTGATGCTTGGATTGATTTGGATCTTGTGCTTCTTTGAACCAACCATTGGTGCCAAGTATAGAGTGTTCTGATTGGCCAGACCTGGGTCATGTGTCTACTGCTGGATCAGGGGTGGGATCCCCATTCACTATTCTACACTGCGGAAACCTATTTGGGGTCCTGCGGTGTTAAGAGACTCTTCCCCTCTTCAAGCGCGCTCAGTTTCACATGCTATTCTGGAACCTTTTCACTCCCCATCAAGAGGTAGAGTGCATGTACCTTTCCTTGAGCCCAGATGGGTGTTTATGATTGCTTCAAGTGATATAACTACCCAAACTAGGTCATAAAAATGCTACACACTTTGACCTTATTTTCTTGGGCTATTCACTTTTAGAACCCATTCACCATCCTATGAGAAAGTGTGTCCCTGCTGAGCCCAGCTGAGGTCCTAACCAACAGCCAGCAACTACTGCCAGATGTGTGAATGAAGATGCTTCTAGATGACACCAGCACCTGTTGAGTCACTCACCTTTAGCCTTTGAGTATTCCCAAGTAAGGTAGCATACTTCATGGAGCAGAGACCAAGTGTCTTTGCCGTGGTCTGAATTCCTTTTTTTTTTTTTTTTTTTTGAGTCAGAGTCTCACTGTTACCCAGGCTGCAGCCTTGACCTGCTGGTCTCAGGCAATCCTTCTGCCTCAACCTTCCAAGTAGCTGGAACTACGGGCATGCGCCACCATGCCTGGCTAATTTTTTGATTTTTGTAGAGATGAGGTCTCGTCAAATTGCCCAGGCTGGTCTTGAACCCGTGGGCTCAGGCAGTTCTCTCACCTCGGCCTCCCAAAGTGCTGGGATTATAGGCATGAGCCACCATGCCCAGCCTGTCTGAATTCCTGAACTAGCTCTCCATGAGAATAATACCCTGGTTGTTTTATTCCACTAAATTTTGGGGCAGTTTGTAGTGCAGCAAACAGTGACTGGGCACTCAGAGTCAATTGTCAAGAGACAAGTCAACAGTATGGCAATTAGATATAGGCAGGAAAAGGCACATCAAGTCAGGTGAGAGAAATCGTCCTCCTATTTCATTGCTGGTTTGAAACCCTTAGTGGCATACCTGATTGGCGGGGGTTTAATGGGAAGATGATGAATGAAACAATTCCAGAATGAAAGAAGGATATGGACAAGCAAATGAGAGCAAGATGGTCCTGTATGTGACATAAATAATTTTTTAGAAAAAAATTTATAGGGCAACCCACTCGGGTCCCCTCCAACTGTGGGAGCTTTTCTGTCCTCTCAATAAATCCTGCTTAAAAAATTTTATAAATGTCCATGGGAGGAAATTGCATTCTCAAGTGAGTCTGAAAATCACATTCCCATATAACAAAACATTTTGATTTTATGACACAATTCATCTTGGAAGTTTGTTAATACAATGGATCATTGCTAGATGGATACAACTTACCTATTCATTGGCTTACTAGATCATATTTGGCATTCTTTTTTTGAATCATGAGTGAGTAAATTAGGTGGTGAGAAGCAAAGTATACTTTTATTTTTCAAGATTAGATGAAACAGTGAAGCATGAATTTTAAAAAGCGGAGTCATTCTTTATTGTAGATTACCTGACCGTCCAAAAGATTGAGTAAAAATTGTGATTATAGAAGCTGTTAATTTAATACAAACAATGCTATGTGAAGAAAAAAATGGTGAAAAATTTCTTATTACAATGGCAGTTAAAGATGATGCTTTTAAGGTTTGGGGATATGGAAATAGACTGAAATACAAACCAGGCCAAGTGTTAACTGTAATTCCTCTAGTAATAGTGTTTATGCCCAATTAAATTCAGCATCCTTGTGAGAGAAAGAAGATAATAGATAAAATAGGAAAATTAGCTAATCGAAAGTTGAAAATATTAAAAGGCAATAACCCATAAGAACCCTGTAAATTACAGACACAGTGGAAGTTCAAGAAATAAAAATTTCTAGATCAGTGTTTCCAGCCCTTAAATATTTTCTCTTGGTGATTAACCAGCATAATCTAAGAGACTGCTAGAAGTAAAAACATGCCTTTAAAAAATATGGTAAAATTGACTGGATGAGGAAAAAAAGAGAAGTTACTGAAAAGCAAAAGTTTAGTGTTAACTAGAATTTAGGAAACCAAAAATACTCAGAGGAACTGAAAACCAATGAAAAAAAAAAACCCCACAAATCAAACTTTTAATTGCAGTGTAACACTAATATAGCTCAGTGAGCTATCACAAAACAAACACATCCCTGTGACCACCACCCTAGTCAGAAAATAGGACATCACTAGCACTTCAAGAAGCTCCTTCCAGCCATGTGCCTCTTCCTAAATTTGTGCTGTCTCCATTCTCACCAAATGTGACTACAATATTGACTTTTAACACAGCTTAATTTTTCTGTTTCTGAATTTTGCATAAGTGCGCTGACTCAATAGGTGTTCTTTTAAGTCTGACTTTCACCCCCATCAACATTATGCTTGTGAGATTCATTTATGTCATTGAAGTTGTGATTATTTAACTTATTTATTTTTGAGTTGGATCCTCTCTCTGTCACCCAGGGGTGCAGTGGCACAATCACAGCTCACCACAGCCACGACCTCCTGGGCTTAGGTAATTCTTTTGCCTCAGCCTCCTGAGGAGCTGGGACTACAGATGTGTGTCATCACACCTACCTCATTTAAAAATTTTTTTTTGTAGAGAGGAAATCTCGCTATATTGCCTAGCTGGTCTCAAACTCCTGGGCTCAAGCAATCCTCCTACCTCAGCCTCCCAAGGTGCTGGGATTATAGGTGTGAGCCACTATGCTCGGTGACTGTTAGTTAGGTTTTGTAAAAAATAGATCTGTTTAATAGGGCAGAACTAGGGAACCAAGGGAGGAGAGAATCATTCGATTCAGCTGCTACTGAGAAGACATCTAAGTTTGGGTTTCCCTAAAAGAGGAGCCTGGGCATGGATTTAAGTGCATCCTGGGGGTTACTTTTCATAT